GTAGAATTCGTATAATAATAATAATAATAATATCTTATCAGTATTGTTAGTTTTTTCCAATTTTTTTACAGGAACACTGAATGACCAAAAAAGCACCACCACCAGTCCTAAGTTCAGTTAAAATGACTAATTTGCATTCATACATGGTTACCAAGTTTTAATTCTAATTACTAAACTACTATTATTAAATACTTGATTTTATTAAATACTTGATTATCATATTATAATGCTTGACTGACTGATATTAAGAGTGTATTTTCAGATATTTAAAAAGCTGTGCCATTTTACAAACATTATATATATTAGTATTTCAGTCTGGCGAGCAAGCTAAACAATTTACTAGCCAATGGCGATTCAATTGCCAAGGTGTCCGTAGAGGGTTGTGATGTCTCACCGCAAGATCATTTATTCTGACACAAAGACAGTGAGGACTCATAAACTCTGAATCCAGCATAGAGGGGTTCAGTGAATGTGGTGTTGAATGTGTGTAAGTGTGTGAGTTTTATATTGTTCTTATTAGTAGAATTCGTATAATAATAATAATAATAATATCTTATCAGTATTGTTAGTTTTTTCCAATTTTTTTACAGGAACACTGAATGACCAAAAAAGCACCACCACCAGTCCTAAGTTCAGTTAAAATGACTAATTTGCATTCATACATGGTTACCAAGTTTTAATTCTAATTACTAAACTACTATTATTAAATACTTGATTTTATTAAATACTTGATTATCATATTATAATGCTTGACTGACTGATATTAAGAGTGTATTTTCAGATATTTAAAAAGCTGTGCCATTTTACAAACATTATATATATTAGTATTTCAGTCTGGCGAGCAAGCTAAACAATTTACTAGCCAATGGCGATTCAATTGCCAAGGTGTCCGTAGAGGGTTGTGATGTCTCACCGCAAGATCATTTATTCTGACACAAAGACAGTGAGGACTCATAAACTCTGAATCCAGCATAGAGGGGTTCAGTGAATGTGGTGTTGAATGTGTGTAAGTGTGTGAGTGTGTGTGTGTCAGAGACGCTGAAGTACGACAGAGTGCCAGCCGACACGTCCACATACACTCCTACTCTAGTAGAGGATGAACAGCTCAGTATGTCAGTTTTCCTGTTCTCATGCCAGGCAGTGTATCTCTTTTCAGTGCAGTACAGACTCCAGGATTTATCATTGAATCCAAACCAAAAGTCACTTTCACTTTTTCTTTTGATTCGTCTATATGCCACTGCTATATGGGCCCAGCCGCTCCACTCAACCTCCCAGTAACAGCGTCCAGTCAGACTCTCTTTACACAGAACCTGCTCCTGATGATCAAATCTGTCTGGATGATCAGGATACAGCTGATGCTCTTTGACAAAAGTTACCTTCCTGTATCCCTCAGACAGGATGAGTTGAGTGTGTGCTGTGTTTGGATCCAGTGTGAGATCACAGGTGTCTGAACACAAGAAGAGGTGAAAATTACAACAAGAAGAGTTTTACACATGTGTTAGTATTTGTTTGTGTGTAATAGAGGAACACCTACATTTTCTCAGTCCTTGTGTGATTCTAAAATGTTCTGCATGATCCAAACTAGAAAGAGACATATATAAAACACAAAGTTTTAATGTTTAGACTGGATCCAGAAAGAGCATAGCTCATAATGTAAGCTTTAGGTTTGAAACAGCTTCACAGACAGTCTACACAGCAGGCTACATTTCTGTGTTGCAAACATTAAATAATAACGAAAGTATTGTGTTAAAAGTTTTCAGTCCGGATATAGACTCTGATGTTGCAGCAGCTCCGATCAAAATGAGTAATTGACCTTTGGAACTAATGTTATGCTTCAAATAAAGATCGTATGTTACATTATGCAACTAGGTGGCGACCAGTGACTGTTAAAATGTATTTGATGTCTGAATCCTTCATTCAAGAGATTCGTTCAAAAACTCTGGATGAAACAAGTCATTCATTCATTTCAAATTATTACATAAATTCATTTAAATGAATAAATATTTTTAAATAGACTCATTTATAACATCAAATAAAACATTTTGTTAGAAACTCAAGTAAATTAGCCACATATTATGTTGTTTGGTTGTCTAATGTTTTGTTTTCAGAATCATGGGAGAATCGTGATCTATATTCTAAAAATCATAGCTTAAAAAATACATAATACAGTATATCTGGCATCTAACTAATACTATTAGTACTGTTTCTAATATTAAAATGTAGACTAGGATGTAAAATGTACAATCTTACAGACTTTATGTAGTACATTAACAAGGATTTGGTACAGTTATAATGCATTATAATGCTGCTTCTCAAAACCATTGTGCGAAGTTCTGCAAACCCCACCCCAATCACCAATCACAGGGTTTAGAATTACAGTAACCCAGGGCACAGTGCAGTATGAAAAGCCATAAAGCCTGATTAGACTCACAAAAAACAATGCGTGCAAATTGTAAAAATCTCTTTACACTTCGTTATACTAATGTTGAAGGCTCAGCCTAGAGGGGAATATCTCAGAGTGATGGCATGCAAAGTTATACACTGTAAATAAATAGACATAAATAAACAGTGAAATGCATGGCAGCACAGGGTGCCAAATGTTTATCATTAATGGAAATAATTAAAGAAAAATTAAGGCAAAATATTCAAATTTTTTCTTAAATGTTTTACAAACAAACACTGTTACTTTACATATATTTTCTGGGTTATTATTGTGAAACATAACATAATTTATGTAAAACATAAATCTCTTGTAGTCAACCATTAGCTAGCAACAGCACACGTGTATGAGCTAATGTAACTACTGTATCACTGCATCAGCAATTACACAGTTATTGCCTTTAAATAAAGCAACATGCAGTATAACATCAATATTTTTTGGTCTTCTCCTGGACTGAAGCACAGACTCTACTCTCCAGCACAATGGTGACCCACAAAACAGACACCAAAACCCTTTAAATCCCAACAGAACATGAAACACAAACAGATCTCTCTAGATCTCAGCATCTTCACTTATTACAATCCAGTCTGACTTTATTTATTTCATATAAAACTTCTTATTGAGAATTAACAGTGGTTTAGATGTTGATGTTTTATTGAAAATAATAAAGTTCGAAGTCACCGTTGTGGAGATACGCTTTTGCTTCAGTTGGGCTCTTGACCCTTGACTTTTTAATAATAGTTTTTTTCTGGCTGCTGTAACTGTGTGTTTTTAAGGCATGTCTGTAATAGCAAAAACTGCTAGAGAAAATCTGATCGGGGGAAGTTTTACTTGATGATGGTTCAGTCATCATATAGTGGCTTGATTCATTGACTAATCTGTTGTGTATATTTTCTGTGTATGCATTTCACATTATTATGTGATCATTACTATTATGTGTCCACACAGATCCTAGTGAATTTTTTTCATTGTATTATACAGAGTGTACTGGCCTATGGGATTACTGTGTATGCAAGTTGCACTGGGAAAAATCACAAAGAACTGTGTTGTGTGGTTAAAACTGCACAGCGGAAAATAAGCACTGAGCTCCCGAGCCTGGATACTGTATATGCCAGTCGATTACGCACAAAGGCCAGCAGCATCATTATGGATCACACTCATCCAGGATACAGAATGTTTGTCCCTTCACCCTTTGGGAAGAGGTACAGGGCTTTTAGATCCAGGACAAATAGGTTACAGAACAGTTTTTTTTTTGCAAAAGCTGTATCTGTCCTGACACCTCCTATTACTACTTTTACTTTTCCATAATAATTATGGACAATTTTAACAGTAATTAATGATGGTGAAAGGACATGTAATACATGTATTTTCATATTTTATAATGTTATTCTAATGTGCAATATACTTCTAAAGGTTTTTATGTTACTCAAGGTGTATGCTTCAATCATGTGCTTAATGTTTACTGCTATGAGAACTGCCACTCTAAATTTCTTTGTATTCAGACAATGATAAAGTAAGTCTAAGTCATGATTCTAGAATACTACTGCATAAAATCCTGTCCTGCTTTGATATTTTGAAAGTTTTTAAAGTCATTATGTAGAAATTACTTGCACAAGAGCATGTAAACTCACAGACATCAAGAACCTGCGTATGAACCTCAATAATGGTGACAATCAACACAATATCTCTCTCCCTCTATGATGTAGAGCTGTGTGTAGATCCTGTTCAGGAGGGTTTCATTCTTTTGGAGTCTGGTTCCCTCAAATAGTCTCTCGTAATTTTTCTTCATGCTGGTTTTGTGCTGGTCTTTGATACTCTGCAGTTCTCCAGTCTCCAGTACGTGTGTCTGCAGTACTGTTTCAGGTTTGTCCTGCCTGATGTGAGCATGATAGTGGGATGTAGAGGATGGTAGAGATCTGATTAGCACATGAAAAAGAAAAGGGCAGCAAAAACGTCAATGACAGTGGTTACAAGGACAGCTGGAGACCATAAGAAATTTGCACCTATGCACTGCACGTTACATATTTTGTAAAGTTTATTAAATCTGGGATGCACTACAGTAAATTAGCAAGCAAATGTTTATAATAACAGAGGCACAAAAGTCACTGATTCATCACTGAATCTAAGAGGTTGATCCATTAATTTTCTACTCTTCACTGACACACCACTGGGTTTTGGAGATACTGATCTCATTCTCATCCTCCTGCTGGTACTGACAAAAGAAAAATTAAACAACATTTTAGTTTGCAGGATTAATTAATAATAAAAAAAATAAATAAAACATAATTTACACACCCTTGCATCATTACAAAAATTAAGAAGACTTTCATTCATCTTTGAAAACCAACTAAGATATTTTTAATGAAAACTGAATAAATTGTGTCCCTCCATTCAAAGTTCACATCTTAAAAACTTTGAAGATCCAAAAGGTTCTACCAAAAGCCTAAATTAAATATGTTCATCATGTAAGGGTCATTCCTAGGATTCAGTAATATTTCAGTCCCCTAGAGTTTCTAAAGTGGTGGTTCACCAAAATGACTTGTTAGAAGCTTTTCACAATATTTTGGTATGCCCATGATAATATATAAAATATTTATTGCATTACATTTTTTTTTAGCATAAAATAATGTCATAAATCTATCTTAAAGCAAACATTTGGTCATGTCTCTGAGGCACTTCACTGAGTTTGAATTTTGTGTTTTTTTTTCTTAAACAATGCAAGATATTTTATTAAAAAAAACTACTTTAAAGTTTAGGCCCTTCAGTCTGAACTCAACCCATCACACTAACCATTCCATGCCCATAATGATTTAGTTTGGAAAATGATTAGTAGTATCATAGTTTTCATTCATATTTTTGAGGCGTATTATAGTCAGGGAGGGAACTGTCAGACTTAACAACTCAACCCTGTCACATAAAATTAAGATGGAAAATGATTATTTTTTAAACATTTTATTTTAATCCATAAGTATTTACAATGTTTTTTATTGCTGCCATATATGACCCTGGAGCACAAAACCAGTCATAAGTAGCACAGGTATATTTGTTGCAATAGCCAACAATACATTGTATGGGTCAAAATTATTGATTTTTCTTTTATGCCAAAAATCATTAGGATATTAAGTAAAAATCATGTTCCACGAAGATACTTTGTAAATTTCTTACTGTAAATATATCAAAACTTAATTTTTGATTAGTAATGTGCATTGCTAAGAACTTCATTTGGACAACTTTAAAGGCGATTTTCTCAATATTTTGATTTTTTTTTTTCACCCTCAGATTTCAGACTTTCAAATAGTTGTATCTCAAATATTGTACTATCCTAACAAACCTTACATCAATGGAAAGCTTTATTCAGAATTCAGATGATGTATAAATCTCAATTTTAACAAATTGAGCCTTATGACTGGTTTTGTTGTCTGGGGTCACATATATGGTCTACTCTTCTACACTACATAAAAAGCAGTGGCCATTTTGAGTGAAAACCACAACCACACGTGTGTATACACACACACAAACACACACACGCACATTTTTTCTCATCGTTACAGGGTTGAGTTATTTACTTAATTTAATAATCATTTTAATTTAAAATCATTTACATTTAAAATATAAAATAGTCATGGTTTCAGTAAATATATATATACTTACCAAAATCATGACAAGTCATATTTTTGCAATAAATATAATTTTTGATGTAATATGTCCACTTAAACTTTGACAAGCATCATACATCAGAAATTACACCCACATTTGCAGCAGAAAGACAGTTTTGGCTATGACCCAGAAATAGGGGGAAAATATGCGAGAAACAAAACCAAAATTTAAAATTTTGATGGCAATGTATCCCTTCAAATGTGTTAGTCTTCAACCCCGTCACACCTTGTCACATTAATATATTTGGAAAAAATAGGGAGACAATTGAGAAAAAGCATTTCTTGCTGATTACCATCTGACATGTTAAGGACTAAAACAATAAAATTGTGGTTTTAGTTAAAAACCACTTCTAAATTACATTTTATTTTTATTTTATATTTTTTACAAAAATAAAGAGACCGAAGAAACACAATTTGTATATTTTTAGCTTCAGTCCTATAAAAATGTGAAAGTTACAATAAATGTTACATTTGATATCATTAAATTGCTATTAGGGAC